TAAAAAGGGCTGAGGATACACACATACTGTGAAGGTCCTTGGTTCAATCCCTATGCTGAAGGGAAAAAAACAAAACACTTTTAGCAGAATTTTCTACCTATCCTTGTTTGGTCATAGAATGGATCCTTTACTACAAGACACCATATAACATTTAATCTCATATAGCCTGATGCCTACTTTTAATTACGTGTCAGTGATAATTATCTTAGAAGAATCAATTGCACAAATGGTACAATTATAGAAATAAAATTTAATGGAATTGTCTTAAAATTCAGACTTTAAAATCTAACCTACTAGTTTTAGCTGGAAATATTCTGATAATAGTATTCCACACTAATAAACACAACAAAATATAATTCCCTTTATTTTGAGAGGGGTGTGTGTATGTGTGTGTGTGTATGATACTAACAACTGAAATCAGGTCCTCACACATGTAAGGCAAGTGTTCATCTTCTGAGCTACACTCTCAGCACTTTTTATTTTGAGACAGGGTTGCCAGGCACAGTGGTACGTGCCAAAATTACAGCACTCTGGGAAGCTGGGGTAGGAATGGAAGTTCAAACCCAGCATGGGCAATTTAAATGAGGTCCTATCTCAAAACAAAAAGATGTAGCTAGTTCAAAGGATTAAGGATGTAGCTCAGTATGAAGATTTTAGGATTAATCCCTAATACCACAAACAAAACAAACAGAACTAAGACACAGGGTCTTGCTGACTCGCCTAGTCTAGCCTCAAACTTGCAATCCTTTTGCAAGATAAACAAGTATTTTCTATAAAGGACCATATACAGTATCAAATATGTTAGGATGGTAGATAAAAAGGAGAAACTGAGGAAATTATGTAAATGGAAAAAAACCCCACTAACTTATTGATGAAATTAAAAATATGGCCAAGTGTGGTGGTGCTTATCTATAATCCGTACACTTGGGAGGCTGAGGCAGGAATATTGCTGCCAGTTTGAGGCCAGCCTGGGCTACATGGCAGAGTTCAAAGCCAGCCTGAACTACATAGCAAGATACTCTCAAAGAACAAACCAACAAACAAATAGCAGAAATTAAAAATATGGAGCTGGGCATGGCAGTACATGCCTATTAATTCCAGCATCAGGAGTCTCAGAAAGAAAAACCGTGAGTTTGAGGCCAGCCCAGGTCACACAGCAAGACCCTGTCTCAGTGAAGTCGCCCTAAGAAAGAAATTAAAAATATGAGTGTAATGCATGTCTACTAATGCAAAGAACACTCCTGTGGTCTTTGAACAAAAGAACAGTACTGGTGAAACTGTAATGCATCACTTCACTGGAGCTCAAATTAGTGTTTCCAGTTATCAAAATTAACTCAAATATTCAACTGTCAAGTACAGCCACATTGTGATAATAACCACATAATTTTAGTTGAGCATACTTATTTCCTGGAAGGCATTTGAAGGACTTACTACATTCTTCTGATACAGAATTTCCTTTTACCATGTTGCTGTATTGCTGATTCATCATTTTCAACGTCAGAAGAAAGCTTCTTTAAACACACAGGCTATAAATATATTTTGAAACACTTTCCTTTGCACTTGTATTCAGGTCTGACAAATACCCCTGAAAATATAGCTCACACTTAGAAATATACCAGCTGCAAATCTGTGTGGTAATGAAGATCTTGTTTTTGTTTTTTGTATGTTTGAGACAGGGTCTCATTATGCAGTTCAGGCTGGCCTTGAGCTCATTTTGTAGCCCAGGCTGGTCTCGAACTTACAATAATCTTCCTGCCTCAGCTTCCTGAGAACTGGGATTATTAGTATGCGTCACCACCCTGGCTGAAGATCTTGTTTTAATTTCTGATAGCCCTGGAAGTATACAGAATACACAAAACCAATTTGACATATGATTCAAATTTCAATAGCTGCTATCAAATTGACCATATGTGTATATTTCACTGATAAGCAGTTTTTCCTTGTAATTCTAAGTAGAACTCATCAATACAATATTAATTGACAAATACTAGTAAGTCTGCAGTAAAAACTAATTTCCAAAACCATTCTGTGTTCAATAGAAGACAGCATCATTCAGAAGACCTAAGCCTTGGACCTAAGCTGAAACAAATAGTAGCAAAAATTTACCATTGTTAAGTCACCAAAATTTCAGTTCCTATTTCTACTATAAAAGTCACAGAACAGGGGCCAGTTTAGCTCAGCAGCCTAAGTACCTGCTTGGCAAACACAACCTGAGGTTGTGAGTTCGACACCTTCTCCCTGCCCCAAAAGAAGTCACAGAACTGATAACTAAGTCTTCAAGAGTTCATTAACCATACTATTGTTTTAGCAGTACACAACAAATTAAAACCCACAAAATACCTGAAAAATAACCATTCTCTTTAATTTAGGGATCTTACATTTTCATAATCTTTGTAGATTTGTCCAAGTCTTTTGCCCCACACATATTTTTACTACCCCCATTTAGTAGATTCCACTCCAGGCTGTAATGCCTTAGTATTTTCATAGCTTCTTTGAACATACTTTCTCCTATAATAGCTTCACGTAGGCAACTCAGAGAGGTTAATTCTGTCACTTCAAACTCATATTTTCTTGAATAAACAACTAAGCAGTATCAGTAACATCTATATAGTCACCATGATCAAAGAAATATACTTAAAACTGTTTTTGCTGAGAAGCTAACAGTCTTAAATAAATTTGTTTTCTCTAGACATATTTCTTCAACAGCTGCAATCAAACACAAACTAATTAACTCATTGTTAGTAAAGTTTTTTTTCTTTTGCATGACCTACAAATAAATTATCCAGTCCTCCTTGGTTGCAGCCTTTTATTCTTCTGAAGAAATTTTGCTGTAATTAAATATCCAACTTTACATTTTTTCCTGGCCACTGTTTTCCTGAATTAAGGATACTGGAACATTTAGCATGGTAATGTCTGTATATTACAGTCTTTTAGCACAACTACAGAGCTATGATATCATTTCATAATAAACACAACACAGAGCTAATTCAATACCAAAATAATTCACTGTCCCTTAAAAGCATGACATTCAAAGCTGACTTTTCTTGGAGCTGGACATGGTGGTGTACACCTGTAATGTTAGTTGAGTTCAGGCACCTGAGTGAGGCCAGTCTGGGCTACCCAGTGATCTCAAGACCAGCCTAGACTACAAAGCAAGATGCTGTCTCAAAAAACTAAATCCCAAAACAAACAGGGAATAAAACTGACTTCTCTTGTTTTGACACGATGGTTTGCATGGTAATAAAAATAAATAACATGTTCCAGCATGGCAACATGTGTGGCACTCAAAATACTGTAGTTATAACCAATCACTGCTATTTGGAGCATGCTGAGTAACTGAGGTGAGACAACACCACACACACAGTTTCTGTAACAACTACTAAGTTGCTGCTGAGATGCAAATATGTTCCATTAAAACTATGGATATGGAAATCTGGATATGACATTATTTTCCTGTATCCCAAAGTAGTTTCTTCTGCTTTTTTAAGATGGAAGTCTCACAATGTAGCTCTGGCTGGCCTTGAACTAACCTAGACTGACCTCAAACTATGGCAATCCTCTTGCCCCAACCTCCCCAGTGCTGGGATTGTAGGCATGTGTGTCACCACGCCCAGCCCAAAGTACTGTAAGTATTCTTTTGATTTGCTCCAACTGTTTAAAAAAATGTAAACTGCATGGGTGCCACAATCCTACAATCTCAGCACTCAGGAGGCTGAAGGAGGAGGGCAAATTCAAGGCCAGCCTGAACTACAGAGAAATCCTGTCTCAAAACAAAAAATAAAAGCCATTTTGGAACAGAAGCCATGTAAAAAGAGGTACTGGCTCATAGTGTGCCAATTGCAAACTGAAATCATTTCATTATGATTTCACTGAAAGGCAATGAAGGACAGAAATTTGATTCCCACTTAAGACAATGTAGCCAGACTGGAGGAATAGCTAAACTTCAGTTTTCTCATCTGTAAAATGAAGATGTTAGTAACTCACAGATTTGTTGTAAGGATAAATTGAGTGAATATGTAAATTATTTATTTAGAAGAATAGCTAGTATAGAGTAAATATGTTATCTCTTAGAATTATTTACTAAGTAGAATAAAATTGCAAGTAAGTTTCAATTCCTACTGGCAACTCTGCATGCTTTAAAACTTCTACTATGGGTAGGCCACCTTCTTGGATGAACACTGATATTCTTTGAGGAGGACAATTACACAGAGCGTCACTATCAGTGTTCCTGTTATACTGCCCAGAATCCTGCTGGCATTTTCATTTCCCATAACCCAAACTGTTAAGGACTGGGGACACAGCTCAGTGTCTATCAGGTACAGGAGCCTGGGTTCAATACTCAGCATCCGAAAAACAAAATAAAATCCCAAACCAACAAATTGCTCTATGTTACTTTTTGTCAGATGCTGGTTGCAACCCCACAGGAAAAATAATTTCCAAATGGGCTAGCTCTTCTGAATTTCTTCTGTGTATCTAAATTAGCTACTAGATGAGGACTGGTATAGCTAGAGCTTTCAAATACATCAGTTGATCCACTTTCCAAAATATACAAAACCCTCAAAAGTGGGATTAATTTATTTATTATTTAATATGCATTAAAGTCATTCTCTTCACAACTCCCTTAGTTTTATTTAAGAGTAAGTACTCAGCAAGTTACTATCAGCGTTTTCCTTTCTTTTTGATCTGCTCTGACCCATATAATAAATATACACAATAAAATATGTTCTCTCTGGATGGTGTTACTATCATTTACATCTCTTAATATTTTTGTTTTATATGAATCACTTGTAGGGGTACAGGGCCAGGGGTTTAGCTCAGTAGCATAAGTGCCTACCTGGCAAGTGCAAGGTTGTGAGTTCTATCCTCAGTATCAAACAAACAAACAAACAAAACAACTTGTAGGGGTAGAAAGTCAAAAATGCAGTCATTAAAAGACAGTTTGGAAAATACATTAAGTAACCTAAATAGTGATTTCAATTAAAGCCATAATAGCTACTTACCTACAACCAGCCCACACTCAGGACAGATCATATCACCAGCTCTGTAGTCCTCCACTAAAATTGCATCTGGATGGTTTGGACATGTGACTCTTGGAAGAGCATCCGTACTAAATGGAAAAAAAAAAATGTATAACCTTACAACAAAAATATAACAAAAGTCTTTTGGAGAAAGGGGTCGACTGAGGTTGTAGCTCAGCGGTGGAACACTTGCCTAGCACAGTTTCAACCCCCTTTACCATCAAAAAACCAAAAAAAACCCCACAGAACCCCAAAACGTAATAAAGACATTAATATAAATTTAATCATTATTTCTGGAAGATATGATCTCATAATCACAAACATCTGATACCACTGAAAATTAGGGATTTTTAAAAAATGAAGTAATAAAGCCAGGTGAAGTGGTGAACACTGTAATCTCAGCACTTACTCTGGAGGATGAGGAAGGAGGACCGCCAGAGTGTAAGGCCAGCCTGAGCTACATAGTGAGTTTAAGGCCAGACTGAACTGCACAGAAGACTCTGTCTCAAAAATTGAACAAATTAATGTATTAAAAAAGTTGGTTACACAGTAAATGATTATGTTATGGCCATCAAACATATACCTAAAAAAAAAAATCACACATACACCTAAAAAAAAACTTCTCATACAGATTAAAGTTCTCATGTTAGCAAATATAACTTAGAATCAATTCAGAAGGTGAACTAGACAACTGAAAATCATTCATAGCCTTCAAATTTATTTTATTGTTATTATTTTGTCTTTTTGAGACAGGGTCTCATTATACAGTTCAGGATGGCCTTGAGCTCACTTTGTAGCCCAGGCTGGTCTAGAACTTGCAATGATTCTCCTGCCTCAGCCTCCCAAGTGCTGGAATTAAAGGCATGTGCCACCATGCCCCGCCAGCTTTCAAATTTATACAATTCAGTTAACCAGAACATGTCTTGGGTCTTCTCACTGGGAAGATAAGGTAGGGAGTGCTTTAAATTTATACTTATTCCAAGAACTTCTGTTGGGAAAATGTTTAATAAAATTAAGCAGAAGGCATAAACTATGACAAACTTGAAATAAATGAAAATGTCAGCAAAATAAGAGTAATTATAAATGAGTAAAACAAAAAGTATATGGATCCTAGTATGAAAAGGACTAATACTTTGTCACTATAAAAAAGTAAATAGAAAAATCTTACAGTGTAATGATATGAGAATATATCCAAGTCATGCTAAGAATAAAATATAGATTCGAACACTGAAAAAGTATCAACTAGTTACACCCAGTAACTAGATGAATCTTAAAACAGGCCCAAGAAACTAGACAGTGGAATACATATGCCATTTATTTAAACTTTAAAGTGTGTGAAACAAAACCTATGCTGTCAGAAGTCAGAATGAGGTTTTTTTTCTGGGAAGGAGCAATGACTGGGGACATAAAGGAGGCTTTACTAGTGTCATAGCTAGTTTTTTTTTTTTTTTTTTTTTAACCTAGGTGGCAGCTATGTGTATGTGCTCACTTTATAACTGAATCCTGTATTTAAAATGTGAACTAACATCACAAAATATAAAGATTGAGGCAGCAATCAGGGTTTCCATTAAGACTACTTTTAAGAGAGAAAGAGGTTAAATCTCTGCATGTTTGTTACCATAATCACTGGGAAAACACCAGGAAACTGGTTAAGTCTGGCTGCTCTGGGGAGGATTAGATGGCAGCTAGGGAAAGTGGGAGATTTTTTATTGTATAGTCTTTTGTACTCTTGCTTTTGTATACATTCTCCATTCACAATAAAATGAAATCATTGTGAACTAGTTAATTTTTAAAAATTTTAATCAAATTACCCACAAATCAATTATAGGGTGATGGAGGGAGTAAACAAGAGAAACAACAGGGAATGTCACCAATGATATTAAAATAGTTTAGGCCACCAAGATGCTAGATAATCCCAAATCTCATTTTATAGCTAATTCATTGTCTACTATGTATCTAGTAATACTAGTAACACTAGAAACATAGTACATTTATTACCATTAGCCATGACTATAATCTGCAAAATAGGCACTAACTCAATTTTGAAGGTTATGTTCAGAAAATTATTTTCTTTGGATACAGAAAGTCTTTATTATGTGTACTCTATAAATACTGTAACATTTTAAAAACAAAGTTTCTTGTTCTAATATGTATAAAAGCTATATCTAAATATGTACCTCCCAGATCTATTACCATGAGAGAATTTAAATCATGTTTAGGTAACTAGGGAAGGTGAAATTTCCCATTTATATACAAGGAGGCCTTACCTGACAGAACACCACACCCAGATTGAACGAGCATTCAATCACAGAATCAGAACCAGTAAACAAGGGTGTCATTGGCTTTGTATTTCCAAAGACATGAGCTAACGCTGCTTCCCACTCCCTTTTTTTTTTAACCATAATATAGTAAGTCCTGCCAGGGGACCTGGACTTTTTACCTTGCTATTTTGAACAATGGCTTTCACTGGTGAAATTTATCAATTCAGACAATAGGCTCAGAAAAATTGTGCAGGAGCTGTCTTTCAGAAAGTGCAAAGCTTAGAAAACTAAGCTCAACATTTTAAGTTAACTACAAGCCAATTGTGGTGACAGGGTCAGGTATATTAGACATCACTATCACTAATCTTGGAAAAGTCAACACTGGCTTGACTCTATCTATATGTCTGATATGCAAAAATAGTTTTATCTACCTCCTACTGGTAGTGACAAACAATTAAAAGCTGTCTCTGAAGGCGCCAGCATACGTTTCTAACATAGGTTTGTAACATGTGAAACTACACTAACGAATGACTTCGCCACACACAACTTTCTACAGGAAAGGTTTTCTTCAAGTGCATGCAGACAACGATATCTGTTGAAAAATCCTTCAGTAAGAAACTAATCATCTCTGGGATGCGCCCAGGCTTCCACTTCGCGGGGCCGCCGGGATGGTAATCAGTTTCCATCAGGCTTCCCATTGCTGACGTTCCCAACTTTCTACCTGTCAGCCAGACAGGGACCTGGAAATACCCGTTTCCCTCTCCTAGGAAAGTAGGAATCATGGACCCTCAGACTGCATGGACCTCAGATGAAAAAAAACAAGCGTAGAGAAATACATAATGGACAAAAAAAAAAAAATATTCCCAACAACGCAACGCAACAACGCGAGTCCAGGCGCTAACGGTCACAGAGATCCACATAGGGTAGAGGCTGGAGAAGACGACCTAGGTGGCTGAGGCGGTGACGCTGACAGCTCAGTACCCCCAGAACGCCCCTGCCAGCCCTGCCGTCCGGAGCTGTGTGTCCCGGCCGGCCAGTCCCGCCGCCTGTCCCCAAATCTCCGGGCTCTGTGACCTATCCAGCCACCCGGGAGAAAGCCAAGAAACTCCCGGCGCTCTCCGGCTGCCGCTCAGCTTGCCCGGCTCGGCCTGACTTACTGACCGGCTGGTAGACGCCATCTTCGCGGCCACTGCAGTCTCACCACCAACAGCTGCGCCGAAAACAGGAAGCGATTGTGGCGGCGAGACGCTTAGAGACGGGATTTTATAGGCGACTCATCCACGCTGTCGTAACAGGGCGCGGCTACGGGTCGGGAGACAGGCCAAAAACAGGAGAACCCCCAGGGCCACGTGCTCTGCGTTTCCTTATTCTCTTATTTCGTTTTCGCAGTTTGCTGTGTTGCTGCGCAAATCAACGAAGTTACATGAGAGACGTCTCAAAGGAACTCTGTAAATAGACTACATCAGGGCTACTCTTAATCTGAGTTAAAAGCGAAGAATATCTTGCCTTTGGGGAGGGAGCAAATCCCTCGTCCGTAAACACAAAGCCTTCTCCGCGGAGTGCATCTTACTTCCTTACTTATAAGGAATTGGAAGAGAAGGAGGGAGGGAGTTAGGGAGGCGGTGGTCAGGTCTTCAGGACAGGTGTAATTTCATGCTCTGTCATCAGTTAACATGCTGTGTCTTCTTAGGCACATCCTTTAGCTCATCAGCATAAGGGGTAACAGTATCTGCCTTGCATACCCTGATAGAGTTGGCAAGAGATGAAACATAACCTAACCTTACTGAGGGTATTGTGTGCTGTGAGGCACAGAGATATGGGTCCTGCCCTGATGGGGGTCCCCGCGACCTTCACTGTTGGCCTTTTCAAATTTGGCTGAAAGCTAAGTATAGAAAACTTGGCAGAACATCTAAATGCTGCACAAGGTCCCCAGATTCATTAATTGCTCCAATAACTTCAAAATGACAATAGCAGTTACATTTTGCTGAAGATAAACTACCCCTGATAATGCAGGGATTGGAGGACAGAGGGTACTAGGTGATTTCTCCCATGCTGGTACTCAGATATGGTGACTACTTCCTTCATGTGGTGTCCAGACATAAATGCCACCAAGCACATTTATTTCTTGGGCAAGGTGGAGATGCTAGCTACCTTAGGACAAGGGGTAGGAGAGACAGACATTTAGAAGCTGCAATTTGATGGAAATGGGAAATCACTTTGTATTTCTTTTATCCTCTTCCATTTTATGATTTTGTGATTGAAAACTTGACTATATTCCTATGAGTTGTTAATATTTGGGAGAGTTTCAAAAATGCCAACCAGTTTCAGCTGTGCCAGGTGCAGTCCACCCAATTCAATGGAGTTTTCACGGTAGAGCATTGGTAGAGCTTGTATCTAGAGGTCTCCCTAAGGCCTCCAGTGGCCAGAGGTGGGATGTTTTGGAGGTGAATGGGGCTAGGGTGTGTGATTCTGGGATCAAAGATGTGATGCTGGGATTAGTTCACGATTAAGGGTGTGAATGCTGCTTGCCCTAAGGCCAGGAAGCCTGAATAAAATATAAGAGGTAGAAAGAGGGCTGCTGTTGCTGCCTGTTGTAGCTTGCTGCTTATTTCCTTGCTGCCTTCTGTCTGCTACGAACTGTTTCTCCACTGTGATGCCAGCCAACTATGAACTGAAACCTCCACAAACTGTGAGCCAAGTAAACCTTTTCTCCTTTAACTTTGGGTGTTGGGTATTTTGTCTCAGCATTGAGAAAAGTAACTAAGAGAAGCATGTTGGCTAGAAGAAGAAGAAGAAAAGAAGGACTGCAACTGAACATCTCTTAAGGATCAAGACATCTCGTGGATTTACAGTGGATATTCTGCAGTGCTTGTTGAGGAAAGAAGCCATCAAAGAAACTGAAACCCCAGAGAAGGAAGACCCAGTAATTGGTTACATTTCTCTTGCCTCACCTGGAATATCTTTTATCTGTTATAACCTTGTAAGAATTTCTTTTATAATAGAAGGCAGCCTCTGTTTTTTTGCTTTTTGTTAGTATATTATTGGCAGTTTATAAAGTATTTTTAATCAAAATTATCTCAATCCTTATTTCTGATTCTGAGGTTAAACACATACACACAAATTTTATCCTTAACAATCAGTGACCTAGACTAGCATTACTAAAACCTGTAGTTTGTATTTAGTCTAATAAATTAATCGTGATAATTAAAATAATTTATGTTAAATTAGTTTACCTTTTTAACTTACATTTTATTTGAGCCAGGTGTGGTGGTGCTTGCCTGTAATTCTAACATTTGAGAGAGGAGGCAGGAGGACTGCCATAAATTAAAGGCAACCTGAACTATATGGCAAGATTGTTTCAAAAAAACAAAAAAATTTTTTTTAATTTGAAAAGTTTATATCACTACTTTAAAGTTACAGCTTGATTTACTAGTTCATGTAAAGTGTGAAATGTTCTACATTACTGATAAATATTTTTGGTTTTGAGTCAGGGCTTTGCTGTGTAGTTCAGGCCAGCATTGAACATAGTATATAGCCTAGGCTGGCCTTGAACTCACAGAAATCCTCTGGTGTCAGTCCCCTACTGCTGGTATTGTAGACATGTGTCACTATGCTCAGATAAATGATTTTTTTTTTTTTTTGGTACCAGGGATTGGACTCATAACCTTGAGCTTGCCAGGCAGGCATTTATGCTGCTCAACTAAATCCTTGGTCTGAGATAAATGATTTTTTAAAAAAGTTTGTGACCTACCAGATTTGATACTGAGAAATAAAATCCTCTGTAATCAACTCAGATATCTGGCAATCTGCCAAGAGAAAAGTCACAGCCACTTCATAATGAATATGACCCTTGGTATTACCAAGGAAAAACTAAATAAATCCTCCCTAGCTTCACTTGCTTTTAGTTGATTTAAAAATCAACAAATTTGGAGAAGCTAGGCATGATGGAGCTTGCCTGCAATCCCAGCACTTGGGAGGCTGACGCAGGAGGATTTCTGCGAGCTTGAGGCCACCCTGAATAAAATTGTTAAGTTCAAGACCAGCCTGAACTACTAAGCAAAACCCTGTCTCAAAAAAATAATAATAATAAAAAGTAAAAATATAAATAATAAAAAGTAAAAACTAAATTTGGAGGTCACACTGTTGAGCAATACATTATTACTTTGCCACTGGCATTGCTGCAGAAAAAGTCTTTGACATGTGAGTCATGATGGTAACAGTCAACTAGGCTATTTCCAGGAACATGAAACCTGTTTTTTTGTGAAAATACTGACTATTCACTTGGTCCTGCAGTTGCCTGGTGTGTGATGGGAGCACCAACAAAATGCTTGACCTCTCTGTCCTCATATTGTATCTGCCTCCTTTGTTGCCCTGACCTTTGGGTCAGCTTCTGCTTTGCATGTCGACATGTGGATCATTTGAGAAATATTCTGTCTGAAACCACTCTACAGCATTAACTTGATCTAGACTTGGCTAGCCTTCTTTCCTTCTCCTTCAAGGCTAATGACACTTAACAGCCTGCATGACAGAAAACACCACATCAGACCATAAAAGGAATAAAAATAAATGGCACTCAGGTGCCTGCAAGATCTCTATCTAGTCCCAAATATGACAAATATTTCATCCCTGTATCAGCCTGTCTGTCTTCCTCGCTAGAATATTAAAGTGCTCCACCAGAGGTGAGGCTTATCCTCATTTTTAAACATGTAGTGTATGTACTGGCATGTATCAGAACTATGCAGCCACCAAGAACTGCCACCTCTGTGTGTCTGAACCTCACTTTTCTTCTGCCTTAACTTCCTTAGTGCAGTCCCTGCACTAACCTCCAGAAAGAGCCCAGGACCCTTTTCTGTGCTGCTCTCCTTTTCCCCTAGTGAAAATGCCTTGGATAAAAGCCTGTCTGAGTCAAGCATAGTGGTACATGCCTATGCAAGATTCAGGCAGGAGGATTGGAGGTTTGAGCCCAGCCTGTACAATTTAGTGAGACCCAATAAAAAGTACAATGATGCTGGGTGTGGTGGCACACACCTGGAATTTCAATACCCTAGAGGCTGAGGGAGAAGGATTGCCACAAGTTCAAGGCCAGCCTGGGTTACATAGTGAATTTGAGGCCAGCCTGAACTACATAATGAGGTCCTGTCTCAAAAAAAAAGTGGAGTGGAACTGGGGATATAGCTCAGTGTAGAACTCTAGGTTCAATCCCTAGTGTCAAAATAAAACAAAACAAAAACACTTCAACTTTGTCTGTCTTCTGTCCTCTTATTAATTTCTTTCTCTAGGAGCCTAAAGGGCCTGGAGTTTGCAAGAGATTTAGCTAACTACCTTCCTTCCTTTCATTTTTTTAAATTTTTTTTTATTTTGAAGAGAGTAAAACCAAATATGACAAAACAAAATACAATCAGTCAAAACAAAAGGATGGACATAGTACAGGACTTAAAAAACAAAATACAAGGTGATAAACAATGGTTACCATGATGTCTTAAGTTATCTTCATAAGAATTGCCCATATCATCAGGCATAATAAAATTGAACAAAACAGTACAGAACAAAAATCAATAAAAACAAAACATTGGAGACATTATAGGACTTCAAAAGAAGATAATAGTCAAACCAGAATGGGTATCACAGTGAATCTTATTGTCTTCACAGTAGTTACGTATACCCTCAGACTTGATACTATCAAACAAAACAGAATTGAATAAGATCAGTCAAAACAAGACAGTGAAAGCAATACAGGGCTTCAAATCAAGATAATAGGAAATCAAAAATGGTTTCCATAATATATCCTGCTGTCTATGGAATAGCTGTCCATGCCATCAAATCTAATACAAGTAGACAAACTGGAACAGAATAAAACCAAACAATAATGAAAACAATATAGATTTCAAATCATGACAATAAATAATTGCTACTGCCTTCTCTTTTTAGACAATTATTCCCCTTTCACTTTCACAGGGTACATTGTACATTTTGTATCCCATTGACTTCTTTAGTTTTTAGACTAGCGAGGCAACCCACTATTTACCTATGTGATTCTGAACCTTTTTACCCCAGCATGATCTCAAGCTGTATCTACTTACCTACAAGAGCCTCAAGGTTTTCTTTCTTTTTAGCTGAGTAGTTTTCCATTGTATAAAGTGTCATCGCTTTCTAACAATCTGCAGCTGATGGGCAAACTATTCCCACTGGTTTTTAGTTTCCTGTCACATAGAGCATTGTTTTCTTTCTTTCTTTCTTTTTTTTTTTTTTTTTTGGTCTTTTTCTTTTTTATCAGTACCAGGGATCGAACTCATGATTGCCTGCTTGCAAGGCAGGTGCTTATGCCACTAAGC